GATTGTTTGGTTGACTCTGCACCATAGACCTTGGTCTGCTCGCTAAGTCAAGTTTGTTGTATCCTTTTCTTAATAAACAACGTTATGGTTAAAAAAAAAAAAAAAAAAAAAAGACCTTCTCTATTTACGGTCACTGTTTCGTTTGGTATATTTTTCGAAAGTCTTTCTTTTGTTAAGTGTAGATGCAATATTTCTGCTGCGAATGGCTGCAGCCATATCTTCATGGAGGAACTACACTATATACGAGTTTCAACAGAGATGTGTCATACAATAAGTGTATGGAAAGAAAATATACTAGTAAAAAAACACCCCGAGTATGATGATATAGATAGTCTATGTTTAGTATACGTTAACTGTATCGTAGTTTCATCTGGCATTGGGACAGATGGTGTACATCGACAAGTTTCACACGAATACCTTTGTATAAAATTTATTTTCAATTCGATAATTAAAATCTTTTATAAAATAGTTTGTTGGCATGGAATCTCTCGTTCTAGAGGTAAAATCGCAACCTAGTTAGTTACTTATCGTTAAGAAACTGAGTTCATATTATTAACTTTTATGTTTTCATTGAATCTTATCTGTAGTTTACGAGATATCGGAGTTTTATTAAAAAAACTTTCGTAGGAAGTTCATTAAACTTTTTAATGAAATTTTTCTGCCATCAAAAATTTTCCATGAAACCCTAGATCACAGTCACTTTGCAGGAGACATTTTAATGAAAGTTCGGCGAACAGAATTTACGTCACTTTTGTCGTAATGCTTGTTGAGTTTGTTTTCTCGTTTTTATCTGCATGTGAATTCAAGCCGAACTCTTTACCGCTCGGTAGCAGACGCATTTCGATTAGTTTGAACGATTCTGACGGTGGAGAAATATCAGCGTTCTCATTAATCCGTTAGAGAAAACATCTCTGTGTCAACTGAAGTCAAGGCGTATATAAGCGGAAAAAATGTATGTATTGCTAAGCGATACATAAACGAAATAAAACAGGTGTCTTTTGCTAAGCTATATATGTCATAGGCGGCGGAGCCACTAGGCTCGTTAGGCTTGAGCCTTGCCTCAAAAATAAATAGGCTCCGTTAAACTGAGCCTTGTCTTAGTATAAAAAACTTAGTTTCGTTTTTTCACCGTTTTACACGGAATTTGCTGTTCATACCAGATAGCCAAGCAATAACAAACGGTGCAAAAGTCATGGAAATGATGTCAAAGTCTGTTAGATCGTATTGCCGACTTCTAAACCAATCGAACTTGTTTTTGTTGGAAAGAGCAAAGTCTGAACTACAAATTTTGTATCAGACATATTTTTCCAGAACAAATCTGAGAAGGAGGAAAAGTCAAAAATCAAACACCTCTGAAAAAGTCCTTGCAACTTCGCTATGAAGCAACATCCTTTTCTATTTTTTTATTAGTTTTTTTTATCAGAAGAGAAATGAGAAAACACGTTAAATGATGATTTTTGTAGCATAAGGGGTGCTCTTTCCAATGGTAGATTGGAAGTTAAATTTACTCTTGATTTTTGTACCAAAATACCGCTTTTTCTGAAAGAGACTAAATAAGTTGGTCGTTCTTACTACCTGGCCGTTTTGCACCGATAAAAAGTCTTCTTTGAATTAGTTTTTTTTTGCAAAACGATCGGACATATTTCTAACAAATAACGCAAAAAGAATTCAGTTCATGCATAATTTCTGAAGACGATGGCTCATTTTCTTGCAAAATGCTAGTTTTGCAAAAGACTCGATTTTACTAAAAAATTCATGTTTAAAACGTTTTTGATTAAAGAGTCAAGAACGGATCTAAAACTTTTACCAATGTTGATATCGATAGAGTTTTTGATCTGCTACATTTTGGTGTAGTTTTTGTTCAAGTTTGATACATGGAGCTCGAAATAATTGAGAAATACAAACTTTTCAAGTTGCAAAAACGTTGCAAAGACTTTTTCAGAGGTGTTTGGTTTTTGACTTTTCCTCCTTCTCAGATTTGTTCTGGAAAAATATGTCTGATACAAAATTTGTAGTTCAGACTTTGCTCTTTCCAACAAAAACAAGTTCGATTGGTTTAGAAGTCGGCAATACGGTCTAACAGACTTTGACATTATTTCCATGACTTCTGCACTGTCTGTTGATATAACACTTCAAGGAAAAACGCATCAGCGAAATTGTTTTTTCAAAAATTCCCCTGAAAATGAATAAGTTGAATGATAACTTTAGAGTAACTAAGTACAAGTAATTGAAAGAGAGCGTTAACAGATTAAGAGATACGAATAAAATTGTTGTATACTTATTTTGAGCTCAAACCTTAAGCGTGCCTGAAATGAACTGCATCGTATTCTCGAAGAGAAAGCCGGGTAAAACATGGTGGATAGAGTCTTACTGCCGAAAGCTTTCTTAGTCCAGATACTTCTACTTTTTTCTGCTCTTTGACTCGAACTGGAATCTTTCACAAGAAACAAGATTTGTTACGCAGAAAATAAAATATCTTGTATTTCTTCAAGTTAAGATCTTGATAAGAAAGTAAAACTGCTTTGTGAATTGTGAGTATTTTACAGAAATCGCACTAACACTGTCGATTTGATACATACTTTAAAATAATTATATAGCGATCGTCCTGACGACGGCGATTACTTCTTGATTCCGTTACTTTTTTACTCGCTTTATTTAAATATAAACTTAATGCTTGCATATGAATAAACGAAACGATTTTCAAATGATAGAAGAAATTATTATGCTAATATTTGGCTCCAGATATGGAGCATCATCAGAGCAAAAAAGAGAAAAGAAAGAATGGTCTAGAAATCTTATTGATACATACCTATCTTAATTAATTCTCTAATTTGTTCACTTTATTCAGTAGCAGATTACTATGTTCTACATTCACGAAAAAAAAGTTATATATATATGTCGTATCGAAGTTATAACTTCGATAGTCCATCTTATCGAAGTTGTAACTTCAATAAACATACTTCATGGAAGTTACAACTTCGATAAGATGGACTATCGAAGTTGTCCTGATTATACTCAACGGTAAAGAATTGATTATTTGAATGATATTATCAAAAGTGCTGGTTAAAGTTATATTTCAGCTAAACAGTAGATATATTTACCAATGAAAAAATCAGAAATGTAGTTATGAAGAAAAAGTGAAAAGATACATACGAGAAATGAGGATCTCCGACGTAACTCAGAGAGAGAATCGTATATGAAATCTTGTCTCCGCATGTTCAATGTTTTTTTATTTAATAATACAGCATTCATTGTTTAGAAATGGTCAATGTAAAAAAAAAAACAGTGGTGAGCTTTGAGCAGCAATAAATCAAGTAGATAAACTTGCCAAGTTAAAGAATGTATGATTTTTCCCGAACATTTGTCAAGTAATCAGTCATTTGCAACTACATTCACTCTGGTAACTATATACGTCTACTCAAAGTAAAATTAAGTGAATGGTAATTTAAATAGTTTTTGATCGGAGAACTTCCAGGATACGCTGATCACGACATTCTTTAAAGATGCATCAGTAGTCACAAAACATTTTAGAAGCTATACAGTTTTAGGCACAGGTTTCAGGACATTTTAGAACACACGGCACTTTTGTTTTCTATTTTGCATCCTATACTCTTTTAAACATGTTAAACTAATGTGAGTATATCCTGGAATTTGCAGGTCATTGGGACGAATGACTCAGATATGAATTTTGTGCTGTTGAAACTGGAGAAAAAGTTTAAGGAAAACTTACTTTTTGCTGGGTTTTCGGAACCATTTTTAGAAACCAAAGATTGTCACAGGGCTTGACATAGTGGATAGCCTATATTTTCCTAAAAATAGTTAAAGAAACAATACTATATCTTGTGCTTATGTTGTATTACCATGGGACTAGTGACATAACATAGCATAGGCAGGTTCCTACACTACATAACAATACATGTCATATGGCGTCTTTTTTTCTTGTTTTTGAGTTTTTAGCAAAACGGCCAAAAAGCCAAAAATGAGCCACCTCAAAGATATTAAAAGTCGTAAAATAAATAATGGATAGAGAGAGAGAGATGAAAATGGTTGTGTAGTTTATGTTAAATACCCTTACATCAAAAACATCAGTTGGTTACAGATTAGCCGTTGCCATTGGTTAGATGCCGAATTTCTTAGAGAATTCTTACAAAGACCAGCGACTAATAGCCATTCTCCTTATATTTTAATAGTTTTCAATTTAGCGATACTCTGCAGTATTCTCGTGACAAAATGACAAATTTTTCCAAAATGAACTGAATTTTTACTACAACAAGCGACCAATACCTTTTAATGTGAATGCCCTCCCATTTAACCTTGCTCATGTTGTCACACATTATCAAAAATAAATTATGATTACGTAAAATAAAATACAGTACTTATTGTATTTTGTCGAATAAAAATAGCCTTATGCAGATTGATATTCACACATCAATGCTTTTTTGCGAAGACAGATAATGCAATTTTTATGACTCATTTATTATTATTTTTCTAGTTATTTCTTATACGCACTAAGCAATTATATGAAGTATATGCAAAGAAAAAACCTCTTTAGAATCAAAAATATTTGTTGAAACATTATTATTCTATTGTGGATAACGATAGTCAACAAAAGAATGTTAATATTATTACAACTTCTTTTTTTACTTATTGGTACTTGCTATTTAGCGCCTACCTGCCCACCGTGTGTTGCACCTGAAAGCTGTATTGTATGTCCAAGAGGATGTATGTCAGAGGCTGATTGTGCTCGATCGATATGTGTGAATGGAAAATGTGAAATAATTGGACCTACTTGCTCAAATTGCACAACTGCCACAACAGTAAAAATGAAAACAGTGACCCCTCAAAAATGTAAAAACGATAGTAATTGTAAATCTCCTGAACCCAAAATTTGTGCTACTTGTATAAATGGTCTTCATCCTCCATGTACAAGTGTTCAGTGTAAAGATGGTCTATGTCAAACAATACAACCATGTTCATTACCCCAAACGTGTTCAAAAAATAAAAATTGTGAATATTCTAATCGTACTTGTGCACCATGTCCATATGATTGTGGCCCTGGATGTACAACATTTAAATGTAATGATAGTAAATGTGAATTAATACCATATTGTTCAATATGTAAACAGTCAACTCAACAAAAATGTAAATGTAATTCAGATTGTACAAAACCTACAAATATAACATGTGCTGATTGTGAGTCAGATCAGGCGCCATTTTGCACACAAACATTATGTGAAAATTCAAAGTGTGTTACAATTCCACCATGTTCAAAACAAGCATGTTCAACAGATAAACCATGTATTTTTAACGGACCAATATGTTTGACGAATGCAACATGTCCTAATGGTTATGGGCCAAAATGTGCTAAAGCTGAATGTTATAATGGATTTTGTAATTTAATAGAGCCTTGTTCACAGCAAACACAATGTCAAGATTAACAATACACTTCATAAAAACTTTTAATTGTGGGTAGAAAACTTTCTGTTGTAGGTTTGGATCTTAAGAAGCTGAACATTCAGGTTTTTTTCTTATTTCCAGTAACCGTTTTAATCACTGGTGATTAACATTTCATTTATTTTAAAAATCAATAGATTTTTATTACTGTATTATGTCACTTGCTAGTTCGCTACCGCTAAACTACTCACTTTGATCTATCTGTTAACCAAGATGTTGTATATATATTGTTGTGTTTTAATAGAATACATTTCAACAATTAAAAGCTGAACATTATAACTGATTGCCTAAAGAACGCAACTTGTTACATTATTAATGTTTAGAATTTACATTCATCTCGAATGATGATAACACACACACAATGCAGTTATTTGAAATTGTAACAATCATTCATATTTATTTTTATGAAGTGAATGGTATTTCTTTGTCGAAGAAGACTTCTTCTTCTCTTGAATTCATGTTTTAGACCCTTTTCTCTTTAACTCTCATCCATCATTATCATTTCAGAACTGATAAAAGTCACTTTTTTATATTCAAAAGGCATGCAGTATATTTAAAAGAGTTGACTTTTCCATTAATAATCCACACCGGCACGGTCCAGCCGGATTGAATCCGTTTCGCCGGACCGGTTACAACTCTGATGTGAATCATTTTGTACTTCAACAACTGCTCTCTCTGCTGCTGTAGAATCCCATCACTACATCACAATTTTCAGAGAACTAATGTCAAGAAAATTTTAAAAGAATTAGATAAAAACTGCACTATTATCGATTTCTCAACAGACATACAGTGGGCAATTTTGATTAAAGCAGGCGGACATGTGCTATTAATTCAATAATAACTTTTGGTGGAAAAGAGCTAGAGAGCTCCGATTTTCGCCATTCGAAAGAGGAGACTTGGAGACATGTTTTTATAATCAAAATTGTTTTCAAAAGACTTTTCTGAAACAGGTTTTTCAGGAGATCTTTGGGAAACAGGGCCGTCTATAAAAATTTTCCACTACGACTATATTGCTTTCCTTTCATGGACTGATAGCTCGGGCTGTTCTCTTCAAAATGAGAGTGATGTAACACATTGATTTTCCGCGGTTCGGGTGTTGTATCAAATTTCGTACGAGTCCTAGGACTGCCGCCCGATGACTCTTGGTAGTCTTGAAAACGGATGGACTATAGGCAATCAACCATGCTGAGCCTCGTGGCAATATTTGTCTTCAGAAAAATTTTAAAAAACTACCGAAAACCCAGTTTTATGAAAATTAGGTATTCAGGCTGTTTTCGTCTAATGTTAACAAATTTCTTCAAAAAACATCAAAACGAGTTCAGAATTTCAGAAGGCCGAGTATTTAAGCTATTTTATATACTGTTTATAGGAGATCTCACAAGAAACGTTACAAAACCCAAAGGCTTTCTAAAACAGTTTCTGGAAAGCCCAGTCACAAAAATATACTTTTTCTGGTTTTTCGATCGTATAATCACGTTTAGCGGAGAAAATTAACTATATCTTGAAATTTTTAAGTGATGTTTATTGAGTGATTAGCGAATTTTTTAATATTAGGTGAAAACAGCCTGAAAACGCAAGTTTTCGTAAAACTCGCTTTTCGGTAGATTTTTGTAGAACTTTTCTAAAAACAACTATTGCCGCGAGGTTCGGCATGATCGATTGTCTATAGTTGATTCGTTTTCAAGGTTACCAATAGTCGTCGAGTGCTAGTCCTGGAACTCCCAAGATCATGATTTTTTGGAAAACCTCCAGCACAATGCAGAATCACTGGCGCTAATTGGCGCTATGGCTAATGGTAGAGTACACATAGAGGAATATTTGGCGAAAGATTTAGCTCGACTGAACTTGAAATTTAAAAAAGAACGGCAGGTAGATTATGTTGAGCTACGTTAAAAATAAGTAGTTGTCCTTCTTTACACGTTGTTTTAATTGTTCATTCTCATTTTCCAAAGTTTTAATTCCATCATCTTGTTGTTGAATTTTTCGACCACTAACTGTGAGATGAATTGTACAAAAACTGGCGCCGTTGCAATTGACTTACATAAAGTTTCGGTTAAGAATGATGTGAATAGAGCTGACTGTATGTTTTTGATGAATGATTCGGAGTAAACGATATTTTGAACGACATCTTGAAGATTTAAAATTCCATTTGTACCATTTGAGGATTCAATAGATGATGACAATGATATTTTCGGTCTCTTTTCACTTTGACCGCTCCTAATTTCTCTGGCAAAATTACTCAAATTATTGTCAATTATTTCAGACTGTTATAGGTGTCTTTTTTTTGTGTTTATTTACAGATGTGTATACGTCTATACTGTATGAAGAATATAGTATATAATTACTTTCTCAAAGAATGTACGTTTCACGTGAAACACGTTTTCCTGACTGCAAAACTTTGAACGTATTGATCATTCAACTGTTATCTCCGCCAAAAGGCAATGTCTCTGATGAGTTTTTAAGTAACTCTTTTAGAGAAAAGAGCTACAGACCTGCGGTTTTCACTTTTGAAAGGTTAGATAGCTGGACGACCATACAAAGTCAAATTTTTAATCTTAAATAGTGGAATCGATATTCTGGATGTTCCTCCTCAAATCTACGCAAGAGTCAAAGCTATCACTTATGCATCCGGAAGCACAGGTATTTTCCGGAAAGATGCTTTTCGTGACCTCCAGAACCCTCAGAGTGGACTATGAACATGATTGAAAAAATGATTGCGATATTTCTGTAACATTTCTAGTTTATTTTCAATAAATACGCTTAGATAAAGAAGAGATTTTCTTTACTTAGTGTTGTTAGAGAGAAAGAACGAGAGCTTTCCTCTTTGTTGCTATTCTTATCTGTGTTCTTTAAAGCTAAACATTGTTTTGGATGATAACTAATAACATGTATTCGGAAATGTAAGTTACTAAAACGAAAGATAATCAAAATGCTGCAAAAGAATATGCTGTAATTACTTACGAAAGCGATAACATGAATTACAGTATAATTGGAAAGAAAAGATGTTGTCATATGATGAAAATACTATGGTTGGTACTATCAAATATGGGAATAAAACATATGTTGTAACAATTCAATTTAAAGGTATATACTTTCTCTTCCGTATCATGCTTCTAACATATGCATTTACTATATTTTAGGTAAACGTCATTTAGTCGAAAAATATCGTAACCTGTGTGAAAAAGCACGTACTGAACAAATGTATGAAGAAATTCCGTCGGACACTGGAGATCGACATAAGAAAAATAAAAGAAATTACAATCCAATGCAAGTAAGTTTCATCAGAAAAACAGTCTCGTAACGTTCACAACAACTTTTCGTTTACTTCACTTTAGTTGCTGCTGCTCTATCAACTACTATTACAACCTTATTGAATTTGGCAATGGCATAGCTGTCAATTGATACAGTGAAGGTCAATAGTATAACACAGTATCATAGTATGACTTTCATAGTATCATAGTTTCACCGTATCGCAGTATTACTATGCATTTCACAGTGTCACAGCATCACAATACCACTCCAATAGATCACACTATCATACCTGACTATCCGGGTTCGCAGGCGGGGCGGAGGGGTGGCAGTAGCAGCATGAGAGTGACTTACAACGCAGCATTGCACTACTTCCTCTTAAGTGAATAGAGTATAAAACTATGAGAGTCCCAGTATAATACTCTGATACTATCATACAGTAACAGTGTGAAACTATGAAACTATGGAAATCATACTATGATACTGCGAAACTATGAAATTCACAGTATTACTGTGAAACTATGAAAGTCATACTATAATACGGCTATATTATGATACTGTGAAACTAGGAAATTCACAGTGTTACTTTATTATTTATTCATGTTTCATTTTTTATGTTTACACTGTAGAGTTTCACGGTATCAATTGAAAGACCTCGGCAATGGTAAGCTAAAAAATCTGCTCTTAATTTTATCTCTAACGATTCCATGGGGTTCCGAGAATGCAGAGAAGAAGACAACATCGCTTGCATACCACAATCTTTTATCTCGCTTTTCTTTTTTTAGTTCCGTTGTCACGTAACTACTGCGTCATCTGCAGCCAAGCCGTCTTAATCGAGAAGTTCGACTGATCATATTATGATCGATCGAACTTCTCGATTCAAACGGCTGTCGGTCGATGTTTCATACTATCCCAGTACCATAGTATGCCTTTTATACTACCATAGTTTGACAGTATCACAGTCTCATAATATCCCAGTATCATAGTATGACTTTCATAGTTTCATAATATCCCAGTATCATAGTAACACTCGGAATTTCCTAGTTTCACAGTATCATAGTATGACTTTCATCGTTTTACAGTATCATAGTATGACTTTCATCGTTTCACAGTATCATACTCTGACCTTCAAACTATCATACAGTTTCACAGTTTCACCGAATCATAGTAATAATGTGAGTTTCTTTGTATCACAGTATCATACTATCATGACTTTCATTCTTTCATAGTTTCACGGTCACTTAGTTATAGTGTGAATTTCACAGGATCACATTATCACCATCAAAGACTTTCACAGTTCATACTATCACAGTATCCTAGCATGCGTTTCATTGTTTCATACCCCCACTGAATAGTAGTATGACTTTCATAGATTCATACTTTCGCAGTATCGCAGTATGACTTTCATACTATTGTAGTTTCACAGTATCACAGTATCATAGCAATAGTGTCAATTTCGTAGTACCACAGTATCAGACTGTGACTTTCATTGTTTCATGGTTCCACGGTATCATCGTAATACTCTGAATTTCATAGTATTACTGCAGCATGGTATGACTTTCATAATCTCACAGTAACATAGTATAGTAAAATTATAGTATGACTAATCCTGCAACAAATATCCGAATGTCCGATGAAACAACAGATTTTCAATCCTTCACTCCCGCAATCCTCCAACAAATATATGTGCGATGAAACTTTGCAACCGTGCAATCCTTCACTCCTCCAGTCCACCGCGGAAATATGTATGATGTTCAACTCTTCACTCCTGCAATCCTCGAACTATTATATGTATCATGAAACTTCGCAACTTTTCAATCCTTCACTCCTCCAATCTGGCGCGGAAATATGTATGATGAAACTTTGCAACTGTTCAATCCTTCATTGCTCCAATCCTCCGCTGAAATTTGGATGATTAAGCTTTGCTTCGTTTCAATCCTTGAGTCGTCCAGTCCACCAACAAATTTATGTATGCCGAAACATTGCAACTTTTCAATCCTTCAGTCCTCCAATCTTGCGCGGAAATATGTATGATGAACTTTGCTACTTATCGTTATGCATTGAGTTGACGAGCAGTTCGCTTGCGTCATTGGAGTCCATCTCGAATAGCCGACCGTTTAATATTGGTCACAATCATGTTATGGTCACCGATATCGATTTCCGTACTGATCTATTCCACAGCAACCTCTCGTTCACCCTTTTCATGTACAGTTCAGATAAAAAATTATTTCCAATATTTAAACTATTTTTTAATTTTCATCTCTTACGATCTTCTTCCATTCCTCTCACTAATTTATTTGGATTTCAAGACAAATTCAACGTCGACGTTTCGGTTTAGAATAACATCGATGATTTATTTACAATTAATTGTATTCCCTTGTATTTGAATTTGTTTTATTATACAGCAACCCATGATACAACCAAAAGCTCTCTAAGACAATTAACTGAAAATTTATTGACACAAATCACTCGAATGTGCTGTTTATTAAGCCACCTTTGTCGATTTTATATTTACTTTCTAACATCATCTCATATTCGGTTAAATGTAAAAAATTTATTTCACTGTCAAAAATGCACAAACCAAGTATCATCAATCGATGTTCTAATGCCTTAATAACAATGATTTGAAATATTTGATTTTTTGGACTAATTTTAGTATTGTTTGTCTAGTTTTCTCCGTTAACCCGACCGTAAAAACAAATCTACTATTGCCCGATTCATCTAGATTGCTAAATTTTTACGCGATTGCAGCCATTGGGTAGCGACAGTGGAAATCTAATAGTTGGGCGATTATCAGATTTTTTTCCGTTGTAATTATCGATTCAATTTAATTCATCGATCGATTTAACCATTGCTAGAGCACATGTAGACGCATTTAGCTGAAAGTCCCTTTTCCAACTAGTAATCTAGATGGTAACTAGTCGTGTATCGCCCGATTACAGCCGAAATGTACCTAGACTTTTCTCATAGATGATATTTGCTTGGGAAGAGACGTTCCATGATCCTATCGTGTAACCGTCGGAAAGGCCATAACATGACAAAATAAAATGTTTTTTAAATTTACAACGTATTCTATTCTCCGTGCAACGTTAGGTATAAAATCTAAGTTTTAACCTTAATCTGACTTACGATTCAAGAACAAATAATTTTTGAATAAGAATACCATCATAATTTTGAAATAATACTCTTGGAGTAATATTGAGCTTCTTCATTCAGTTTTTATCTGACTATTTTGTGCAACATCTCATTCGAAAGAGAAGAAAATGTCGAACAATATGTGCTATTTCGATTTTGAAAAGGTTTCGAGATTAATATGAAAAAAGACTGAAATATTGAAATTCGAAATACTTTTCAAATTTTATTATTTCTGATTTTTCTTAAAACTCACCCTTTGTTAAGCCCGAAAGGCAAATGCAAATAGATGCATTCCGTATAGCAAACAATTCTCTACAATATGTACTAAAACATTAACTAAAGTGGGATAGAATGATTAAGTAGAGAAGAATTTAATCAACTTATTGGACTGTTGGTCGCTCTCTGTATGAGGGAACGTTTCTCCTTTTCGGCGTGTAGAGCCCATCCTATCGTTGAAAAGGTTGTTCTTTTTGTTATTATTTATCACTGGATTATTACACAAAAAGAACCGAAACATGGTACAATGCTGTTCGAAATTCTAGAATCACCTACTACATGGAACGTGAAAAATGTGATCTATTATTTGAATATGTTTCATTTTGTAGATCTGATTTGTTCTATAGTACTATGAAGGAGAAAAGATGATTGCGTGTCTCTATCACTGGCTTTTGAACTCTTTAAACCTTATCCCCGAGAAATGCTACAGAAAATCGATTCCCAAAATACACTGAAGGACTACATCAATGCCAATTAAAACATATCGATTATACTCAGTTTTCATGCCCTTTCTACACTAGTGCCGCCAAAAGTTAGTTAAATCCATTACGGAAGAAAAAAAGTAGGGCATTTCTCTAATTTTAAAGCGGAAAAAAACCGAACTTGTTGTTGAATTTTGTTTTCTCCAACAACTAGCCACCTGGTAAAATTTCGACTACATATTCTAAAGGAGCATACGGGATTCTATGCATGTCATCTTAAAATATATTCAAATAACAGATCACATTTTTCACGTTCCATGTAGTAGGTGATTCTAGAATTTCGAACAGCATTGTACCATGTTTCGGTTCTTCTTGTGTAATAATCCAGTGATAAACAACAACAAAAAAAACAACCTTTTCAATGATAGGACGGGCTGTACGCGCCGAAAAGGAGAAACGTTTCCTCACATAGAGAGCGACCAACAGTCCAATAAGTTGGTTAAATTCTTCTCTACCAGCACCGGTCTCAAACATTTTTTAGAAAAAGATTCATACGCCAGCTAATAGTTGTTAGGAAAGTCTAAAAAGCAATCTAAGCTTTCTGAAGGAAAATAATTAAGAACATATAGTTCGTATTATAACTTTTTATCTGTAATATGAATATGAATATATAGCTTGTGTTTTGTTTTAATAAACTTTTCGCGACCGAGAATCCATTATTTACTGGAAAAAGAAATGACTAGCGGCGCCTTGCTTCTCAGTTTTAACTGTTTTGCCACACTTTTGTTAAATTCTGTTTTAGTAAATATTATAGAGAATTGTTTGCTCTACAAACTGTATCTATTTGCATTGGCTTTTCGGGCTTAACAAAGGTTGAGTTTTTGTATAATAACAGAGATCTCGACAGCCGCACAGTAATATTTGTAGATGGTGCAAATAATAGTATGCGTCTCTCGAGATCTTTATTATTATATTTAAGAAAACGTTCATCATTTAATGTTGTTTTATAATTTAGGTAGTAGTTGACTTTGAAACTGGAAGTGTCGCATCCTGACAAGTTCTTTCAACAATTCGCTAACTGCATTATTATTGTTCGTTATGTATTATTGTAATTTTGTAATATTTTTGTTCGATGATGACGTTTCAGCGGTATATATACCAAAAAAACCTTTTATGTCAAATTCTCTTTTGAAAAATGGTAAATCATGTGATACAGTAGAACAAACGCTTCGGTACGTACTGAAATATGAATATTTTTTTCACAAATCTTCTACTGAAAGGAAAACAGGTGTTCAGAAGTCTGAGAAAGTCTAAAATATTACTAAAAACGCTTGGTTTTTTGGTCAAAACCTGGAATTTTTGAAAATCATAGGTGAACCTATACTTACCATGTTATTCATAGGACGCCTTGTGCACTTTTCTCTTGCACCGCTTCGAAAAAATATTTTCTCCCAAGAGTTACTTCCAAATTAGATATGCATCAGAGCCAGTATACTGGATACTGGTTGCAATGGCACTTTCATGGCGTTAAAAGCCACCTATCGGGAGTTTGGCACACTACTCAATAAACTGCAGTGATGGATAAACCGTCACGTTCGCTAAACGTAATGGGTATTAAACTTCAGACTGATACTCCTATCTTGCAAGCCAAAATGAGCATGATAAAATGACCAACTGACTAATCCGTGACCGACACTTCTGTGAACCGACTCTTCACGAATAGAACTCCGACTTATCCACGAATTTTTGAAAATAGATGTTAAAAGAACTAAACTTTCCAAAACTAACAAAACAACTGGGGTAAAAAAACCTTTCTGTTTCTTTTCGGTTTCTTATCAAAATATTTTTTGATCATAAAAATTAAAATTAAAATAGTTTGCCCGGTTTTGAGTTCTCACAGAAGAAAAACGTAGTATCTGACTTTGTTACTTAGTTAGAAGAATTTTTCGTAACTGTTACTAAACCCTTCCCTGTTTTGTATAGCTCAATGCCAATCCCTTCCTCTCCCCGCATTCGAATAACCTTTTTTCCCAGAGCTTTTAATCTATATTTTCTCTGAGAAACTGGTTTTTAATGGTCAAATCATTCGACCTGTCGTGGGCGAATGTGTAGTTATCTTCTTACGTCGTACGTATCTTTGTTTCATTACTCCATATCTTTATCTCACCCATATACCAACATGTTGCTTGATAATGCAGTAAGAAAGTCATAAGAATTGTACTAGAAAATGCTGCTGTTACAAAAATTCTACTGGTTGCTGACCCATTTGGACAGTCATATGTGTCGTTAAATCCTCTCTCGCTGCACTATAGTTTTCTATTGCTGATAATAAACTAAGATCCCCCAATTCGTCATCATCTTGATGTCGATGGATTTCCTCTTTCTCCAAACAAAACAATGCGTAAACTAGACGTAATTGAATACGTAAACGTTCTTCGCTAAAAACTTTATATATAGTTTGAGATCGATATAATTGTTGCAAGTTATTCAGCAGTTGCTTGTTTGCACAATATATATAATATGAGACATATTGTAAATGTCCTGTATATCGTATAATATCGTCAGCAATATTACCAGGTAAAAAAAGAGCTATTTTATCTAATTGGTTGTGTTGATAGACAAATTGTAAACAGTCATTTTGTTGACGAAAACGAATATAATGATTTGTAAATAATTGATCCAATTGTGCATAATTGTCATGAAAATCATAAAAGGCAATCATATAGTCAGGATCAGTTATATTATTACCTTGAGCCATTTTGTACACAATATCTAAAAATAGCTAGCGATTGTAGAAAAAAGCAATGTTTAAATCAAGAAAAGAACTATAAGTAGATCGGAAACCATTCAGATAGAAGTAATTTCACATGCTCTAATAAAATAAAGATGTTGGAGTAAGGGCTCATATGTTTTAATGTTAATTAATGTAACATGTATATTTTCAGGGAAAAAATATTTAAATGGTCATTATTTTCTCGTGAGCTTTCTTTTTGTTTGAAGAAATTGTGTCATTTCGGTGAACAGTTCTATTCCTTTTTTATAATAAACTTGTGCTAAAACT